TCTTGCTGTAATATTAAAAGTTAAAACTATTAAAAACTACTAACTATTAAATTCAACTGCTATTATTTGAGCAGCTCTGGAGCGTCTCTGATCCTCGTGTGCCTCTGGTTTTTCAGGGATAATTCCAGCTTCCGGAACACGAAGATCACTTTGTGAAAACCTGGAAATAATTTTCATATGGACACTTTCCCTTTTACAGCAACAAGACACACAACGACAGTCTCAAGTACGACTCGCTCGATCCCACTCACAGAAGCGGTTCTGACCGCAGTCCGGATCCATTCATGTGGAGATATATGTGACCGTGCTGCACAAAACCAGACACTAGAGGCATCTGAGGGTGCAAAAAAATCTAAATATTGAGAAAATCATCTTTAAAATTGTTCAAATGAAGTTCTTAGCAATGCATATTACTGTTCAAACATTAAGTTTAAATATATGTACGGTAGGACATTTACTAAATATCTTCATGGAACATGATCTTTACTTAATATCCTAATGATTTTTGTCATAAAAGAGAAATGTATAATTGTGACCCATACAATGTATTGTTGGCTATTGCTACAAATATCCCCCAGCGACTTAACACTGCTTTTGTGCTGCAGGGACACAGATGTGAGCTTTTCTGAAGGAGCAAATCTCTCTCAGCTGATGCTGTAAACTAAACCTGTTTCTACCACAGAATACAAAAAAAAAACATAACAACAGTAAATGTGAGGTTACATCTCACAATTTTGACTTTTTTTCTCACAAAAATTGACAGTAAAATTAAAAAGTGAATTTCTTTCCAGAATTGTGAGATAAAAGTCACAATTACCTCTTGGTTATATATTAACCTCTTGCTGTAATATTAAAAGTTAAAACTATTAAAAACTACTAACTATTAAATTCAACTGCTATTATTTGAGCAGCTCTGGAGCGTCTCTGATCCTCGTGTGCCTCTGGTTTTTCAGGGATAATTCCAGCTTCCGGAACACGAAGATCACTTTGTGAAAACCTGGAAATAATTTTCATATGGACACTTTCCCTTTTACAGCACGAGCAGTGTGTGTTTGTGTGTGTGTGTGAGAGAGAGAGTGTGTGTGTGTGTGTGTGTGTGTGTGTGAGAGAGTGTGTCTCTGAGGACACTGTCCAGGATCATTCCTTCAGTTTCATTCATTCTGGTTTATTCCTCAGTAACTCGTTACATCAGATTCAGTGTGTGTTTGAAATGAGAACACGATTAAAGACATTCTCTGCGGTTCAGTTCGATTCCTGTTTATTTGTGTGTTTTTACACTACAGATCATTTCACAGCAGGCTCAGAAATGAACTTTTCCGTTAAGGGGCCATTGATTTCCAGGGGCATTGTTTACATTCACGAGAGCCAGTCGCACCTTTACACACATGTTAGTTCTGCTGTAGAACATCTACACATCCACGCTCTGCTTACACAGCCCTGCAGCAGCAGGAGGAGGAGGAGGAGGAGGAGGAGGAGGAGGTTGTCACGGCAACCAGAGACACTGCAGGCGGATTACTGCTGCGCTTCTGTTCTGCCACACTACACTTAGCAATACACAATAAACATCTGTCAACCTCAGAGGAGGCTTTATTGAGCCAGTCAAGGAGTGAATTACTCGTCCACTGTGTAAAGAAATACTAGAGCTGGGTTTCAGGCAGGGTCACAGTTATCTAGTGTGTGAAGCTGAAGGTGTTTGGGTTAGGGTTCATAATGTAGAGCATGTTTATCAGTGTTTGCTGTATGTGCACATGGCTAGCAAACACAGAACACAGCTGTTAAGCTAACAGTCACATTTAGCTGTGTAAGATCGTATAGGGGTGTCCTATTTATGATTTTAGGATTCTTTTGTTTGTCCAAGTGAAGCATGTCTATGAATATTAATATTAAACTCATCTAGCGTCTCTGATTGGCCGCCGCATTCCTGAGCTCAACGGAAACGCGTGTGATTGGCTAGCAGGCTCAACGCCTTTATCTTGAGCTTGTGGGACGTTTTTGTTCGTTTTGGTGGCATTTTTTAACTTAATTAATTAATTAATCCCCGACCCTGTTGAAAACTAGAGCGTCGACACACTGAAGCACTGCATCTGCAGCTTCTCTCACAGAGGCATGCTCTTGTTTGTGATTGGCTGACAGATGGGGCTAAAACTCGAACCTGATAATAACAACGAATGTTTTTATTCCTTTCATAAAGAATTATGAACACACATTTCAGCATTTTTTATAGCGTTATTAGTCCAAAATACTTCCAGCTGATTTATTATCTTCAGCTCATTGGTTTTAGATGAAGCGTCTGCTTGTAATTTTATTTATTATGATTATTTTCTATGCTCTTATTTTGTTTTGTGCTGCGGCGGCGGTTTGATGACGTGTTTCCGCTTCGGTCACGGCGCGGTTTGAAGCGGGGGAGCGGCGCGAGACACTCGGGCGGTAAACAAACCCTCACCAAACTCTATAAACTGTAGAGTTTGAGACTGTAGAAGCGCGTGAAGATAAACCCTCGCCAGCCCGCGAGATCAGCGCGTCTCTTCATCTGACAGAACACAGAACACGTCATTCGTGACGGGCACTCGGCGGCAGGTTTGATCTTCATACAATGTTTCCGCACAAGAGTGTCACTGCAGTGTGTCTGCTGCGGTTGCCATGGAGACCGAGGGTTTATTTTAAGTATTTTTTGTGCCATAGTCAAGTACCCGGATATAATCTACAACAAAACAAGCGTGACCCTGGAGCACTAAACCAGTCATGAGGGTCAGTTTGTCTGAAACTGAGATGTGTGCATCATCTCAAGCTGAATAAATAATCTCTCCATTGATGTATGGTTTGTTAGGATCGGACAATATTTGAAAATCTGGAATCTGAGGGTGCAAAAAAATCTAAATATTGAGAAAATCATCTTTAAAGTTGTTCAGATGAAGTTCTTAGCAATGCATATTACTAATCAAACATTAAGTTTACTGTAGGATCTTCACGGAACATGATCTTTACTTAATATCCTCATGATTTCTGGCTAAAAGAGAGATGTGTAGTTGTGAGCCGTGCAGTGCAGAATGGGCCAGACTCGCAGCTGAGCAGTGCATGCTAGTGTCTCAGACAGCTGTCATCTCCAGCACAGCTTCTGCACGAAGCATTACACGCAGCTCGTGTCTTCAGTACTTCTGTGTGTCGTTGCGTTGTGTTACGCAGAACTTAATTCCTGAACGTAGCTGTTTTGTGGTCTTTGTATGCATGGGTTAGTTGGGTTGTTACCGACATCTGGAGAATATTTCAAGTCAACAGCATCTTCAGAAATATGTTTACTGAGAAAAATGGCGACGTGTTCAATACTTATTTTACCCGCTGTATATATAAACGGAAATTAATTTTTTTCTTGCAGAAGTATGTTTTCTGGTGAAGTATTGAATAATTAATCTATTGAGTGTGTGCGTGTGTGTGTGTGTGTCTGTCTGTCTGTCTCTCTGTGTGTGTGTG